CTTTCCCTTTTTTTTTCTCGTTTCTTTACTTCGTTTTTTCTTGTTTTTTTTTTGTTTTTCTTCTGTACATTTTTTTACCCGGTTGTTCGGTACCAACCGTTTGCTACTTTCCCCCCCCTCCCGTGTTAACCAGCAGGGAATATTTTTTCAAGCGGGGAAAGGTACTGGTGGTTTAAGGTCAAGGCTGCTGTGCGCCAAATTTGGTGTCTTTTGGACTAATAGTCTTCGAAATACCTGTCTTGAGTTTTCTGAAAATTCTGCTGCAGTCCTTCGGGACATCTGTTAAAATTGGAACGATACAGAGAAAGAGAAGATTAGCATGGCCCCTGCGCAAGGATGAGACGCATAAATCGAGAAATGGTCCAAATTTTTGTTTTTTAACAAAATAAATAAATAAATAATAAATAAAATTCTGCTGCAACAAAGTTTGGCAAATGTTGCAGGAAGTTGCACTTTTGTGTTATAGTTTGTTGTTAGGTAAACCACCAGCACTTGGCCAAGTTGGCCCAGCTATTGATGCCGAGCCGGGAGACGTCCTGCGCGCCAAGTTTTGCCGAACCACCGCCGAGTCATTTCTATTCTCTTTTTCTATTCTCTTTTGGCTGGCGCCTCCAGCCATTGTGGTCCAGTCGGCCGAAGCCCATCAGTTGCGTGGCGTTAAAGGGAAACGCCCCCGACCGATGTATGGGCCAAGTACTGGTGATTTAATATGGTGTCCACTGTCCAGTGTCCACTGTATGGATCTGGTGGGAAGTCTGGGGCGAGGTCCCACTAGCAAAGGGGATTTGATTGAATGCGTTAATTTGGCCGCGTTTGTGAACAAGTGCAGAAAATCGAGATTGAACTCCTTTTCTGCATCTCTGCCTAAAACACACCCAGAATCAGGATCTTAATCCAATCCCCGATGCTCCTGGTTAAACCACCAGTACAGGCCTGGGGCACTAGTACAAATTCAGTCAAGTGGAAACGTCGCAGTTTTTTCATTCGGCTGCCTGTATGTATACGTGGCAGCGCGGCTTGCGAAAGTACAGGTGGCCTTAAAGTTTGGGTTTTCTTATAAATGATATGACAAATCACGGAAAATTGAGGCCTCCGTTAACCAGCTGTGTCCTGTCAGTGGAGCTCGCTGCACTACTCTAGACTGGTGAAATTTTTCTAGAGTCTTTCTAGAGCTGTCAGAGTCACAAAAAGTCCTAAAATCTAGGCATAGCCACACTAGCTGTAGACTCTAGAAAAGCTAGAGTTGCTCCGTCACTTTCTGAGTTCGGCCATTCACTACAGGAAAGCACCAGCCTGGGTTGTTCGTCCAGACTCAAGGCCCACTCAAGGAAAATCAAGGCGTTTCAAGGGTCCTCATGACCTCCCTAAAAAAAAACGCCTTTGCAGGTGGGTGCTCTACATCAATCTAGAGTGAGAAGGACCGTCCGCTCTGACAGCTCAAGAAATAAAAAAAACTCGAGCAAACTTATCGAGTAAGTGGAGCGATGACGACTCTATTACTTTTATAGAGTCTTTCTGACAGCTCCAGAACAGGTTTTCGAGCACCCATTTCTTGAACCGGTGTCAGCACAGAACCCGCACCACTGCGGGGGCGGCCAATTTTTTTTTTCAACGGCGCTCCGTGCTGTGCGACCCCTCCGAGTTTTGCTTGTGGGGACAAAAAACTTTCTGCAAGGCTGGGGCCCTGTACTTGCAGTTTAAGGCAGGCTGACTTGGGCTGTAGACATTGTCAAGCTTTTGATGCTGGCAGTTTAACGCAGCCAGATTTGGGCTATAGGCATTGTCAAGCTATTGGTGCTGGCAGTTTAAGGCAGGCAGACTAGGGCTATAGACATTGTCAACCTATTGATGCTGATGACACACACTGCCGGGAGGGGATCTGATTCAATGGGCGGGTGCACCAGGGGCCCACTGCAGGGGGTACGGGCACACCCATCTGTCTCTGTCCCTGCCATTGTCCACTGAGTCCTCAGGAAATTTCTACCAGTGAGTCACAGAGGGTAGGGAGGAAAGAGGTCTGGAAATTCAGCCGCTGGACGGAGGGGGATGCTGGGATAAGTCACAGTCCAGTGTGTGATCCAGAGATGTTAATCCCTGGTCGCTTTGGATACCCCGTTAAAAAAATAAATCAAAAGAGTGAAGTACTAAAATAGTAAAAATACCCAATTTTAACAAAATGCCTGTTTCATGGTTGATGAACTGAGTCAAGATGAAGACTAGAAGATGACTCGGAGGATGTATTTACTTGGCCCAGCTATCGGCCGCGGCGCTTCCCCGTTAACGCGCCGCGGCATTTGGGCTTCGGCCTACCGGACCGCATTGGCTGGAGGTCACAGCCAAAATGAAAACAAAAAAGAGCGACAGCGGCTCGGTAGGACTTGGCGCGCAGGGTGCTGGGAGGCTCGGCTTCGATAGCTGGGCCAAGTACTGTTGGTTTAAACTGATCATGATCACTGGTTATGGGATCCAATTCAGCTTCCAGCGCATGCTGCTCCTCCTCAATCACAGTGGAATTTTTTGAATCACAATCATGTTGGAACCAACAACTATTTAGACCCATTTCATCAAAAATGAGATAATTTTAAACCACCAGTACTTGGCCCAGCTATCAGTGGTGGTGCAAAAAAAAATAGCGTAGAAACGTTTCTAGTCGGATGAATTCTGGCGCTCCTGTACTAGCCCGTACATTTCCTAAAATTGTGGCTTGTATACAGGCATGACTTTAAGAAGTACCTAATGGTGAACAAAATTGCACTCTCGAGATTCAGCCCCAAAAGCTAGCCAAAATTCTCTCCCAAGGATAGGGCATTTTCAGACTGCTGGACCCCCTTGGTTATATCTGGACTGCATCCAGTCCAGATACATCCCGCAAAGAGTTCTGGCTTGAAGTTCCTGGAAATGCCAGACCCTCAGGAGAGAATTTTGGGTAGTTTTTGGGGCTGAATGTGGAGGGTTCAATTTCGTTCTATTTTTTGTTCAATAAATAATATATTCAATTCAATAGAGGAGCTGTCCCCTAGCCAGTATAGCCCACCTGCAGGTAGGGAGCAGCCCCTGCATGTTCTCTTGCGAACACGGTTCCGGCTTCTACGGGGTTCCCGTATGCCTACAATTAGGAGTGACATTGAGAGAAGAATATAGCTTTTCCAAAAAAAAAAAAAAAAAAAAAAAAAAGCACGTTTTTTTAAAGTTTCCCAGCAGAAATGTTGTACGGGTCCGAAATATGTATTTATCTATTTTTGCACGGAAAGTGGGACCCAGGCCCGCGCGCAAATATTTTTGCAATCTGCGAAACTACCGGCGGGACCTTGAAAGCTGCAACGAAAGAAATATTTTTTGCAACCAAACTTGGGGCCCGCCAATAGTTTTGCTGTGAAACTACCGCCATGCCCTATTTTTGAAACTCCCAATTTTTGAAACTTACCCTTAAATATACAATCTCCATTTTTAGAAATGGTTCTTAAACCACCAGTACTTGGCCCAGCTATCGATGCAGAGCCTGGAATGCCCCTGCGCACCAATTTCCGCCGAAGCGCCGGGTGCCGTTTTGAAAATTTTTTGCCTGGCGCTTCCAGCCATTGTGGTCCAGTACCCCGAAGCCCTAAAGGTGCGGCGCGTTAACGGGAAAGCGCCGCGGCCGATAGCTGGGCCAAGTACTGGTGGCTTAAAAGTTCTCGCTCCTACCTCCTCGCGATTCAAAGCAGATCAGTCCACCCCCTACGTTGCCTACCCTAAAACACCAACTCCCTCCATGATGATGTTGCGGGGTTTGTGGTCACAGATCCCTGCCGCGCGGGTGGCAGGGTGGATCTGCAGGGTTGGGTTATATTCAAGGGTGATAGGCTTTGCTTTTGTAGGTTCTGTTTTTGTTGTCTTTAACCACCAGTACTTCCTAGAGTCGTGCCCGTTAACGCGCCACGATTTTAGGAAATGTACGGACCACTACAGGAGCGCTCACATTCATCCGAGTAGAAACGTTTCTACTCTACTTTTTTCCGCGGCCGATAGCTGGGCCAAGTACTGGTGGTTTTACATTGTGTGCAATTAGGTTTTGTCATTTCGTTAATTTTCGTGTGCAGCCCTGCGATGGATTGTAGAGTTGGCCGTTGCATATTGGGATCGTTGCCTTGCTGAGAGTGACATGGTTACGGTCAAAGGGAACAGTTTACCCTGTAACCTTTTCTTTTTTTTTTTCCTTTTTTTTTTTTTTTTTGAAGAATCGCCGGAGTGGGTGCTAGGGGTGCTGGTAAGAGCAGATACCTCTAGCAGTCCCGGGCGGGCTCCATCTATTGGTGGGGAGCAGCACCTGCTGGAAAGCGGGTCCAGCGTCCCTGAACATTGTGGCTGCACGTTGTCTGATACATATAATTGTGATGGTGATGTGAGGGACGCTGGACCCGCTTTCCGGCTTGTATGATTCAAAAGCAGCCGTCGTATGAACCAGGCCGAACCAGGCCGGAGTGCCTGGATCATACGACACTGGCTGGCCCTTGGGTTGAAAAAAAAAAAAAAAAAAAAAGGTTCTCACTCTTTTGCGTGTGACACTGTGTTTCTTTGTGTGTATATCTTCCATTTTGCTTTTCGGGAATCGTTTTCATGACAGGTGTTAACTTTCTGATCATGCTAGTGGACAGCATCGTTTCCGCCACCCCGTACAGCGTTTGGAATGCTGGGCAGCCCATGGGCTACATGGCGCTCTACGGCTCTTTCACCTACGTGTACTGGGCATATGGGGGGACCAACGTGGAAAACAAACCATACATCTACCCTATCCTCGACTACGCTGATGACTTCAAGGATGCTCTGAAGTTTAATCTGATTTCGCTTTTCCTCATTGCGCCCGGTATGCATCTCATCATGTGTGCCTGGAACTTCCTCTGGAACATGGCCTTTGGTCCGATGCGGAACCTCGACGTACCACGGTCCGAGTGGGTTATGGCCCTTGTGAAGGACATGAGGGACAGGTACCTCACACCGCTCGCAAACAGGCTTCATCAGATCTGGAAGCGATGGCGAGGCGAGACTGTGGCAGCCAACATCGTAGCGTAAATCAAAGCTTGTAATGCAAGACTGGCACCCATGGTGCGCCTCAAAGGATCCGTTGGGAGCGGCATTCAACAAGGAAGTTGTGGAGCTGAGCATAATTGTTTGTTGTTCACCAGACG